GAGAGTAGTTTATAAGTTATTATTTAGTTTTATTTTTTGTCTCTTTTACTTTTTTTTCTAATATTATTGAAGTATCCTTTGTAGGCAAATCTTGTGAAGTTGTCTCACAAACCTTGTCTCCTTGAGTTTGATTTTTAGAAGAATTTCCTTCTCTTGTATCATCAAGATTATTTCATTTTTTTTTCTTCCATCAAGGCTTTATGTTGGCTCTTAGTAATATATGCATGAATTGAAAGAACTTCTATAAGATTTTTTCAACTTCATAGATCGCATATTATTGTTACAATTCTCAATAATACTTTTTGAGGTATTTTATATATATATATTATAAAATAACAAAAGTCCAAAATTTACTTCTCTCTATACTTCTATCAAGATTATCATCTATCTAACACTATAACTTGTACTTTCTTGTATTGCTATCATATATGCTATTAAAGAATCTTGAATCCTAACTCTCATACCTCCCTTAACAAAATTGGTTTAAAAAAGGTCCTCCATATCTTATAATGCCATCTTTCTATCTTTATAGAAAATAATTCTTTATTGCACCATATCATTAAATTCATTAGAATCCTTCTTAATATGAAAAATATCGTTACATAAAATATATCTTTATATATACCTTTATTTAAAAATAGTCTTTAAATTATTTGTAGAAGTCTTTTCTTTAAGTCTTACAAATTTGATTTGAAGATCCCACATTTCACAAATAATTTCTTCAACTCTCATATTTTCTTTTATTGATGTATATGCTGAAGCTTGAACAATAAGCATTATTGGTTGTTTTGTATGTACTTGAATTTTAGATATTTATACTATTTTTGAAATATTAATCCTATCCATTTTTTTTTTATATTTTGTAAGCAAATCTATTGCATCTTCAACATTTCTCCATTTCATTGTCAATTCTTCATCTTCTTCTTTATCTTTAAGAAGCAATTCCAATTTTATCTATATCTTATAAGAATATATTTTCTATTGTACCTCTATAATTTTCCTTTATAATAGTACTTCTTCAAAATCTTTGAATTTTACAACAACTCTTTACAATAGATCCTCTCTCAATTTTTTTTTAATTTTTTTCATAATTTAGAGATACTATTAGAAATTATATTGTTATTTTTTATCTTTAGAATAAATTAGTGCATAAGTTGAACCATCATCAAATATCTTCATTTTAATCTATGTTGCAATAATGTATGGTTGCCCCAAAATAAGAAGATAAGATGTTGTATCTTATATAAAGAAACTTTGTTCCATTGCAACATCACCAATTCAAATTTTTATATCTAGATAAATACCATACAATTCATCTCATATATTTTCAATTGCTTATATCATTCATCCATACTCAAAATCAATTAGCCACCTCCTTTGCTTATAAAGATTTTTAGACATAAGATTTATTTTTAAACCATAGTAAATAAAAGCAACAAACAATTCATCTATATTTCCAACCTTCACCAATGCCTTTGTAGTTGTCCTAATTCAATGCTTTCAAATATAATGACTTGAATTTATTTATTTATTTATTTATTTATTTATTTATTTATTTATTTATTATCACTTTGATCATCAAAATAAACTCTTTGATTATAATTCTTTCTTTTACTTGCAAATTATTTATAATAATTATCAAATAAATATTTTATATTCTCATATATATATGTATTAATAACATGACTCAATCTAACTTCTCCCACTAATTACTTCTTTTGTTTAATATTGTCAATAATGATATCATAAAATTCTTTCTTGGTATTTTCAAAATCTCCTTCAATGTGAATTTAATCTTAGCATTGAGTACATATTCTTCAAGTACCCTCTTTAAATCTTCTATTGCCTTAATATCAAATTATATTTTAAATATTGACAACTTATCTTTGTTTTTTATATTTTTTAATTTTTTTTTAATATTACCAAAATATCCTTCATTGATAATTCTTATAAAGCCATCTCATAAGTCTTGTCTCCTCAAGTTTGTCTTTTGGAAGTACTTCATTCTCTTCTATTTTTAGAATCTTTTTTTTTCTTCTATCAAAGCCTCATATTAGCTGCTAGCAATGTATGCATGTATTCAAAGAGTTTCTACAGGATCCTTCCATCTTATAAGTCTATAAATTATAGCAATAGTTTTCAATAATACTTCTCATAGTATCTTTTTCTTTTGCATTGTAGAAATAGAAAAAGACCAAAGTCCACTTAGTTCAATATTTCCAATAAAATCTTATTTCTTATCATCATTCACTATAGTATCATAACATATAGCTTCTATTGCTATAATCCTATATGTAGTCAAATTATCTTTAACTAATATTTTCATATCTCCTTTACTAAAGTTGATTTGGAAAAGATCATAAGTATTCTTCAATGACTTTTCTATCTTTTTAAATAATAATGCTTTGCTGCATCATTTCATTGAATTCACTACAATCTTTTCAAGAATAAAAAAAATATTACACCAAATACATCTTTGTACATATCTTTGTTTAAAAGTAGCCCTTGAACCATCTATAGAAGTCTTTTCTTTAAGCTTTGCAAATTTGATTTGAAGATCTCCCATTCCATGTATAATTTCTTCAAGTTCCATATCTTCTTTCTTTGATGTAATCATTGGAGGTTGGACAATAGATACTATTGGTCATGAAATAGGCACTTGAATTTTAGATATCCATATAATTCTTTGAACACCAACCCTATCCTTTCTCTTTTCCTTCTTTGTACATAATCCTATAACATCTTCAATTTTTCTCTATTTTTTTGTCAATCCTTCATCTTCTTCATTATTTTTAAGAAGAACCTCAAAATTTTCATGCAATTCTCCATTAATTGCTTGAACAAACAATTTAACCTTGTTTGATTTTAATATTAACTTTTTTACTTTTGATAATAAAAATTATTGCATTTTAAACTTCTTTAATAATTTTATACCTTGTAAATTATTGTTAGGCCATTCAATCCATTTTAAGAATGATTTCTTAATAACTCAATCAATATCGTCAAAGAAATATTCATACTTTAATGCATATAAAAAAATCTTCCATAAACTTCCAAATTTTTCTATAATTGACCTTATATGCTTTCTTATCTCTGATACTATAGTAAGTTCAAATAATTGAATTATTTTCTTTTCTAAAATATGATACAATTTTATTTTTTATACATAACATCTCAAATATTTAAAAATATTCTTTCTATCAAATTAATCAACTTTATTAATCATTGCTTGCAATGCTTTCATTGCTAAAGTCTTCTTGAAATTAATGCTCTATTATTATTGCATAAATAATATGAATGCATGAAACATATCTATGGTATTTGGATCGAAATACATATCTTGTTCTCTAATAAAAAACCTATTTGAAGCTCTACTTGAAGCTCCATCTAAAGCTCTACAAAAGCTCTACTTGTACATCCACTCAAAGCTATAGCTTCCATCTTCTTGCCTTCTTTTTCTATCAAATCAAAATAAGAATGAATAAAATTCAATACCTTTTACTCCAAAATTTTATGTCAAGTTCACCATTTATATCATATTACAAGTCTTCTTGTTTGAGAATGCATTGAGTACTTGACTATGGAAGGTGAAGTCATATGTTAAAATTATTTAAGAAATCTTAATAAGTTTCAACCATTAAGAAGGAAGAAATTTGAATTCTAATATAAAAGAAATTAAAGCCAATGCAAAGTATTCAAAAATACTCTTTTTAATTACCTTAAGAGAATACAAATTCTAATTGTCTTGTTATTTGCCTTTTTTTGCAACTTCTAATTTTTTTCTCCAAATTTTAATTCTAGGCAACGAGCTTCAACTTACTATAATTCCTAATCCAACCATCTAGTTCATATAAAAAAAATTATACTAGTAAAACAATATGTCTTCTATAAATTCAAAAAATTAACTTCAGCTCCAAATTGGTGTTTAGTTTAATATATTATACTACTAAAACCACACCAAATTCCTCTTTGTTTCAATAAGTAGATCTTCAAATATTGCAAAAATCCTATCCAACCTTAAATTACCAACTTCCACTATGTCCTTGCACTAATAACTAAATATCTTCTAATTACATAGTTAGAATAATATGAAAGTTCACACAAAATTAGCACATCCATTCAACTGCATATTGACAAAATTTGAACCATAGATATTGTATGCATCTCACAAACTAGTTGATAGTGCCAGTCCTAATTTTATTGCATAAATCCAAAGTTACTAATACAAACCTTGACTTTGCACAATGATTACAAAGTCATTTCAAAATCTATAAAAATAAGCTTTATAACTCTAAAATAAACTTGAAGCAACTTGGAATTTAAGACTTCTTACTTTCTCATTTAAATATAAAGATCTTTTTATTTTTTAATCAATTTTAATATTAAAATATAATAAATTATTTACAAAAGATACAATAATAAAGAAAATAAAAGATTAGGCTCTATCCAAATCTTAGTGAATAGATCATTATAAGATTAAAAAGTAGAGATAATATGTTAAATGAGTCTTTATTTACTAGACATGACAAACAAGAATAATATTGGCAATAGCAGAAAAAGTATCCAACTAATACCTTATGTTAGACAAACAAAAACAATTCAAGTAGCTTCTTGAATCAAAATATTTCAATAAACCTAAAACCTTCAATAGTACCTCTAATTACTTATGAATAATTTTGTGTTTCTTTTTAAAAAAAAAAATCTCAAACCATAAATTCTACATCTCTTCTATCAATATTTTTAAAACTCCCAACATTTGGTTGTCTTCACTCATAACTATTCACACAATTTGATGTATCCACCCATCATCTCTGTCACACATGGATTACCACAAACAAACAAATGAAGTAAAAAAAGGTTAGATGAGGGCAAGATACAAAAATCGGATAATGTCTTGCTTAATAACGTTTTCTTGTTGAACAGCGGATGATGGTAACGTTCATCCATCCAAATGATGCAGTATATGATTCGTTCATCTAACTTGGGGGCTTTCTCATCTCGTCGTAGCAGGAAGGAAACTAGCAGAGAGTAAACCTTCTTCCGCAGCTTTCGAATCCTTCGCTGTTGTTGTTGCAGTGTCGCGGCGCAATTGTTGCTGCATGCACTTCGTTCGTGGAGTGGAGTGGAGTGGATGCTTCCCCTCTTTTTCCTTCTTCACTTCACGCACTTCGACGCACTCGAGTATCTTCTCTTGCACCCTCCACTTTGGCAACCTCTCGCACAGTTGAGGTTCTCGGATCCTCCCACTCGGATTTCGTACCAGGTGATTTTTTCAGCAGTTGTTGAACCGATTGGTTGGAGATGAATGCCTCGCTTAGATGTTATCAGTTTCACGAATTCTGGAATTATGGGCTGTCTGAAGCAGTGCCTCTCCGCTCTCAACAGATGAATTTAGGGTTTTTGTTGTTTTTTTTACTCTGGGGGAAGCGTTGTATTCTTGTACAGTGTTGCAATTCTGTTTGTCAGTGTTACGAATGTGGTTGTGGTTTGAGGACGTTTCTTCGAAAAATATCGATGACTTCCATGTATGAGAAATGTTAGCTCGAGGTTTGGTAGTGGTTATAGTTTGTCGAGAATGGCGAGGTTTAGTGTTGTTTATATTTTTTTTATTTTAGGTCTTGCGATGAGCTATGGACCCTATATTCTTTGAAGTGAAAGAACACTTACATACCTGATAGTCATTGTTGGTTTTCGAAGTGCATAAAATTGCAGCTTGTCAATTTCGGAGGGCATTTGGGTGTTGATTCGGAGCTATTTTAGGTTTGCAGGTGCTTTCTTTCTGGAGCTAACGAGAATGGCCGCGAAGAGGGAAGGTGAGGTCGATGATTTGGCTCTGGTTTCGAAGCGGCAGCGCACCGATGGAGGATCTTTAGTCCCCGTGAGAAGTCCAGCTTCCCAGGCTGGCAATCAACTCAGTACAACTGTGGAGGTAATACTATTTTCAATTGTCACTTGATGCAACCTTCGTCTTGTTTCAATACTTATTCAAGTTCGGTGTTTTCCCAATGGCCAGTAAATGCCCCATAGAAAATAACCCTTCATGAGGAGAAGGGTATGGGAAATGAGTGATACTTTGATTGTTTTTTTCACTCTTGGTCTTAATCCTCCATGTAGTAACCCTAGTTCATCTTCGCATCCTTCAATTTTACATTTTGAATTTGAATCAGGAGGCACCCGCACATTCTAGCTGGAGGAACTCTTGTTTAATAAGGAATATGTGGTGAACTTTCATGAGCGGAAGTCTTTTTGATTTTCCTTTCAGCGCAGATTTTTAATATTCAATTTGAAATTGTGTTGATATTTCAGGGTATTAAACGGACGTCCAGCCTCGATGCTCCCATTATGCTGCTTACGGGCCACGGAGTATGTTTTTAACTTGAATCATATTGTTTAATGTTAATTTTTCTTCATTTCAAAGCCTATTCGTTTTGTGCTCTGCGTACATCGGCTTTTTACAACTTAACATCGTTGTTTTTGTTTTCGTGCAGGGTGCTGTGTATACTATGAAGTTCAACCCTCAAGGCACAGCAATAGCTTCTGGATCGCATGACAAGGATATCTGTAAGTTTCTCTTCAAAGTGAAAAGTTTTCTGGAAGGTCTATGAGGGCTCAATTCAAGTACACTTTGCTTGTTCTCTGGCCTAATGTGTTTTTATTTTATTTTTTATTTTTTATTTTTAACTTTATGACCGCAAGGATATACCTGTTTTCGTGTTTAGGATTATCGTTTTTTCAGTAGTGTTTGTATCTGCCTGAAACATGGGGTTGCAGTTTTGTGGAATGTGCAAGGTGATTGTGACAATTATATGGTGTTGAAGGGACACCGCAATGCCGTTTTGGATCTTTGCTGGACTAGTGATGGGCAACACATCATCTCAGCTAGTCCAGATAAAACAGTGCGCGCATGGGATGCAGTTACCGGGAAACAGGTGTGTTTCTTGTTTTTGGGCATAAAAAGATGTGCGAGTTCGTGGATACAATGTTTGTATTATACTTTCCTATACATGTTTTACCAGAACCATCAACTCGAAATTCACTTTTCCTCATCTTAACTTTCTGCAGATTAAAAAGATGGCAGAGCATTCATTATATGTGAATAGTTGTAGCGCTGCTAGGAGGGGACCACCACTTATAGTTAGCGGCTCGGATGATGGTACTGCTAAATTGTGGGATATGCGCCATCGCGGTTGCATCCAAACTTTCCCAGACAAATATCAGGTTGGTTTCATCTACTAGCTTGTTGCTCGCCCGTCGATACTAAAGGGAATTTTTCTGAACTCATAATATTCCGATATACACTGGAGTGATGACTATTTTGGTGGTAAGACTTAGAACTAGTTCCACTGGCCAGGTATTGATTTTCAATGTAGCATGAGGCTGCTACATGGGTGTCTTTTAGTCGGGCCAGTTTGAAAGTCAAACTGTATACCTTGAATCTTGTGGGCGTTGGCTATGATTCAACGTCAATGGCATTAGTGATGTTCCTGATCCACTCAGTAATCGGTACGGTGAAGCAGGTTACAGCAGTAGCATTCTCTGATGGCGCAGACAAAATCTTCAGTGGAGGTATTGATAACGATATCAAAGTATGGGACCTCCGCAAGAATGAAGTGGCCATGAAGCTACAAGGGCACACCGAGACCATAACTAGCATGCAATTGAGCCCGGATGGATCCTATCTTCTTACCAACTCCATGGATTGCACGTTGAGAATCTGGGACATGAGGCCATATGCACCTCAGGTTGGTTGTCTTGTTATTTATTGGATGGGAGCTTTTCATCCTCCATTCCCATATGTAACCTCGTCAATTTGCCTTTTTTTTTTTTTTTTTTTTTTTTTTTTTAATGCAATGTCTTTAAGCCAATCATCATTGTTTCCAAGTTTTTTGCAGCCTTCCTTTTTTACCTATATTACATCACTCTGGGCCTGCAATGGGTCCCAATAGAGGGAGGTGGCTTTAAAATGTAGTCTCTCTTTACAGAATGATACTCTTTTTTTAATTGTAATTTGCTCCGATTGCAGAATCGATGTGTGAAGATATTCACGGGTCATCAGCACAATTTTGAAAAGAACTTGCTGAGATGCAATTGGTCACCAGATGGCCAGAAGGTGACATCGGGCAGTGCAGACCGCATGGTGTACGTTTGGGACACTACATCTCGAAGAATCTTGTACAAGGTATGCACTCATATGAGTCACACTAGATGTTAGATCTGTGGTCTAGTTGCTTTTAGCTTTCAGTCTACTTAGTATCATTCAACCAACTTCATTATTTGTTCATATGCTTATGATCAGCACGGGCCTTTTCTTTTACCCACCTGCAGTTCAACAACCTTTTTGTTGCGTCTTAGAATGAAGTCGAGCAATTCTAAGATGGTCAAATGCTTATGGATCTTGTGTTGGCGTCTGGTTGCAGCTTCCTGGACATTCAGGTTCCGTAAATGAGGCCGTGTTTCATCCAAAGGAACCTATTATTGGGTCATGTGGTAGTGACAAGCAGATCTATTTAGGAGAAATCGATCCTACTGTTAGATAGAGCATTGGAACTTTGCCCCATCGAGGAAAATCCTGAGTCCTAAGTGTGGTCGCAGCATCGTCCACGCCTTGTTGACTGGAGCAAAGTACGAACTTTGGACACCATGCAAAAAAGTCCAATTTGTGGTGTTAGCAACACTTCTATGCATCCCTCAGACTGGTCTATGGCACTAGAAGGCTTTCCATCATCTGGATACTAAGGCTGGAGCAATCCAGTCCCTCCTAAAACTCTATCGAGTTCCCTTTGAGAGCATCTTTCTCTGAACATGCGACAACATGGTGGAGGATGGGATACGCCTGATCTTGGGAAAATGTACAAACTTAGCACTTGAAAACCATCTCGCATGTGTAAGAAACAGGTTTTTTGTGAACGTCGGGACTGATTGGCTTCCATGGGTTCATGCCCTAAAGCTATGTCCATATTAATCTCCTTGAGCTGATCAGCGCTTGTGTTTTTTAGTCTAAAGCCGTGCCTCTTGGAAGTGAGATTGAGTGTAATAAGCATTTAATAAATCAATGCTATACCACGGTGCATCAGACAAGTTTAAATCCCTCTGGTCGCCCTTTTCCATCAGGTTGCGTGCTTTGCTTTGTGTAGTAATTTGTTCCAATTCTGATAATCTCGAATTTTACTTTTAAGTTTACTTGGTGTGCTCTGATTTTAAGTCCGCTCATCGTACTTAACGCTTACTAATAAGGGTATCTCTGATTGGCAAGCCCTAGGTCAGTATATGCACCATGACCAGTAGTGCCTTGAAAATAATACTCTGTCACGTCTCTGCAATTTGCTATCCTGTTGCCTCAAATCACAGCTGCTTCGTCTGACTTCTACGTATGAAGTGAGTAGAGTGTGGCAGAGTAAACGACAAACTTGTCCTACAATGGGAGTTTTAACAGTTAGGTTTAGATTTCTGGCCAGTATATATATATATATATATATATATATAGAAATAAAGGGTGGTCACAGTAAATGTTTCCAAGGAGATTGCATTGCGTGAGTTGAGACAGGCGTCTCAAGTCAAAACTGAAGTGGGTCCTTCTGGAAGTTGTTTGAATCTTCCTTCAATTAAGAATAATCCTCTGAAAGTTTAGAACCCGTAAACACTGAAATTTGCACAATCAAGTGATTGCAGAAACTTGGTACCTAATAACAAACAAAGTACCATCATTGACATTTCAAAAAGCAAGGTCTCAGCCGGGTATCTATTGTTGTGTTACTTCTTATAACAATGATGCTGAATGTACAAATCACCAATCAATTTTGGTGTACCAAGCTGACCTGCACGCTCAGGCGTTTGAGTGTTTTTCTCTAGACGATGAACATGCAAATTGTCTTTTTCTGCGAATCCTACATGCTTGGCTTAAGACAAAATATGATGTCTGTCCACCAGATTACATCAATAAATGCATGGTTGAATGTTCAACTTCTGTGTTGGTCACGGCAACCTCGAGATTTTATTGGTTGCTCATATTCTAACAATCTGTATGTTTGGTTCCTATTTAAAAAACAAAAACAAAACTAGTGGTTGTTGTTAACTATACATAAACGAAATATTTTGAATACAGATCAATGACGCAGAGATTTTGGGTCAAGAATGGTTTGAAATATTTAAACGTTTTGTATCGTTTCGGAATGTCAACATACTGGATTCTCTGATGAGCCCTACCATCCTAATCTGACACCTAATACGGTGTCGATTATAGAGCACCAACTCACCATCACAAAATGTTGAGCTCTACAGCTCAAAAGGCAACATTTCAACTAAGAGAGGTTCTTATGACCTTGGTTTCTAGTTCAACTGTTTCAAAGACAACTCTTAGGGTTTACACAATGCCAATAGATAACTGCACAACAACTCAATCAAGGCTTTTACTGCGAGATGAGAGGATAGATTCTTGTGACACTGCCTTGGAATGTGTTAAGGTTGCGAAGAACAGACCAGCTGCGCAGCCTGCCAGGCACCCATACTTAACAACATCTGCATTAGAATTCAATTCCGTCAAAGTACTGCCGTCACGACGCGAGGTACCGCGTTCGGTACAATGTACATCTCTCTCCCAGATACTGACAACAATGACACACCCCTTCCGGAAGATAGTCAAGATTTTGGGTATTTAATTTACCGAAATTGGGTATAGTTTAGAGCAGCTTGCTCGTAATAGGCACATCGAATCGCTTATCACACTAAAGACGAAACCATGACAAACAAGAAGCAGGAGTCGAAAAGAAAAAGAAAAAACGAAACTCAATATAATTAAAGCAAAAACAACACACACCGTAAACAAAGCATTATGTTTAAGGAGCAGCAATTACGCTCCATGACGACGATGTACTCTTAAAAATAAAAATAAAACGCAGCGAGACATGAAGAATTAGGGCGTAGTTAGTACAAACTCAAATCAAACCAAATCAAAGGGCTGGAGTCAAATTGTAGGACTATACAGAATTGAATGCTATAACAAAAGAATAAGTAGGACTCCACAGCCCTGGCAAACTCATTCTCCTCATGGTATGTACCCATTGTTTTCATTCGTACATAAAAAGAAGAAGAAGTAACCACCCACCGGCGATGCTTTTGCTTGCATCAGATCTGCCTGGTTTACGAGTTGGGAGGCTACGAATCAGATAAATCATACAGTTTCTGGAGTTACGAAGGCAATGAATGCAAAGTCTAGCTGATAACCGCTACCGAGATCTCTGAGCTCGGATAAGTCTATATCTCTCACACCACATTTGTCGCTTCGGTACCTCGCAGCTGTAGTTTTGATCACCCAGTACGTGGGCATGATTCAGTGTACTAGTTCCCGATCTCTCAGGCCCTGAGATTTGCTGCTCCGTACCTCTATAACCAGGCAAACGGGAGGGCCACAGGCCCGCAATAAGCTAGGAGATCAGTGGCTTACACACACCCCATTATATACACGATTTCGACGATAATTGCTTGCATGTATTCCAAGAGATGGAATTGAGGAGTTGGTTTGCGATTGTGGAATGTTGGGGCTGTGGGTGTTGAGTTTATTCATCACCCACCTGCTGACCCCTTCTCGCAGACTCATGCCTGCTTCATGGCAGTCTCCAGAATTGTGTCCTTCAATATAGGTGTACATTATTAAATATGCATGGAAATTTTAAAAAACGTGCTGCCGTTAACGATGAGTCTGTTAGCGTCGCTCATGTCTCGTTTTGGAAGTTAGATAAGCGGCTGCGGTGTACTTCCATAATTGTACTTCGACAGAACTTGAATTCCAAAAGTTACCCTCTCTGAAAACCTGCAGCAGTTATTACTTTTTCAGTTTTTCATTTGTTTTAACCTACCCGTTCCAAGCGTCGTCACTTCTATGTAAATCTTTATAGACCAACTTGCATTCCATAAGCGTTGACGTGTACATTATGTGCCGCATGAACGTGATTCGGTCCAAACCAAAACATACGAATTCCCAACTTCGTGGTGATTGTGAATTTTCTATTTTCATACATAATTCAATAGCTTCTATCTGCAACATTTTAAGTTAAAAAGGCTGGAATAATTGAGTAAGAAAAATGTTATTTTATTAACTTTTTACTTCGAATGAGACATTCTCAGCCGCTTTTGAATAATACGAAAGACTACTAATCGTGGAAGTCGCTGTAGTTCATTGATGCAATTGCATGAAGATTACTAAGAATCTTACAGCGACCTCCCATTCAAATATGGAGATTACAACTTTGTGTGAAAACACGTCAATAAGCTACAATCACTCTCTTGTGCAGGGAACAAAGTTATATTTCACACGATATATCAACCGTGATCTTAGAGCAGAACGAAGTTCTCCGTGTTGTCGAAGACGGCTCTTCTTAAAATAGATCGATCTACGTGCAAGGAACTCAGAGTTATTGAGCATTGATGATGCATGTACGCAGTGCAATGAGCACCAGCTCAATTATAATTGATCTAATGCTGTCTCACTCCCACGTTTCTAAAAGAAGGCATCAGACTAGCATCTCAAATTTGCAAGGGTTCCACTCAGCATTATGATCTTCTACTACCACTGATCCACGGAGGTTTCAGATATTCATACAACAAGAGGTAATACGCACATAAAAAACACGAATTCAGACAGACTTTGATCTCTCTTTCTGTGAAAATGAAACAACAATTTATTTCAACAGAATTTGAACTGTAATTCAAACTGTTGCATTGAACATAGACGCTGTAGTTCAAATTTATTCTATCAAACCATGCTTCGGGGATTAGGATCGATACGATGTCATACAAAAACAACGACGGCAATCGTTTTCTGAAAAAATAAGCTAATCTGGCGCCTCTTCATAAATCATGTACTCTTAACCAAGCTGCTAGACTTCGCTTGTCTTGGCTAGACATAAGTGACTGGTCAGCACAAAAACTGAGCATGGGGCTGTCGACACCGCGAGTTGCGAATGCACTTGAAGGTCCAATTTTACCAGAGAGCTCAAGAGTGATAGCAGAGAAGGCCTGAAGATTTAGGCGTACCTCTACGTAGTCCTTGTGAGGCTTATGATGTGTTTCTAGAATCGTCCTCCTGCAATAATGCATCTGTAACAAGTAAAGCTTGTGCCGATCATAATCGAACGATCCATAAGGTTTTACTTGCTGCGTCCAGCCTTGGGGCCAGCGTTGTAACCGAAGGGTACACGCCGGTCCGTCTCCCAGCATAACTCCGGCCCCGCAACGAAAGCAGGTGTGTACGCCTACAATCGACGCAATCGAAATGGCGTGAGCAGATAATCCAGAGGTCGAATCAGTGTCGTTCCAACTGAGAGCAGGAATGGCATAACATGAATGATGAATCAAAATGGCTACTACCTCCAGCTTATCAAGTAGCTCACTCGAAGTGTTCGCGGACATGACGATGTTGCGTGCGGAATTGTCGAAGAACTCCTCTTCCAGCTGTTTGTCGAAGAATGTCAGCAACGTGTCGTAGAACCCATCCACATTCAGAAGCCCCACCTGCAGCATTTGCCCAATTCGAGTTATATTAAACTCACAACGTCCACGGAGGAGGATTTAGAAAGAGGAATGAAATAATGTGTTTATGGAAATACCGGCTTCAGATGAATGCCGAGCTGGTTCCAAGTGATCACTTCCACAAGCTCTTCTAAAGTTCCATAACCACCTGCACTAAATCCAGAATTCCAAATCTGAGAATTACTCTACTCTCTCATACTTCTGCAATTTGTATGGGTTCTAGCTGGGAAGTTTGTCATCTGATCTTTACAGGATAACGTTAACTTTGACCAAACTTTAGGAAATGGTTTTGGTTCTAAATTACAGGTTAGTTCCACGTGGTGATCCCAGTGCATTCATTTTACTTGGGAACCAACCGAGATCTCAAGACAATTCATGCGAATGCTCTCCAAACTCGATCGAATCCGAATTAGCATTGCACTGTGCTTACCCGGAAGTGCGATGAAAGCATCTGCTTGACGCGCCATTTCAGCTTTCCTTTGGTGCATGTCCCCCACTACGATCAGCTCTCCCACTGTACTGCCCGTAATCTGCAAGTTTTTCGTGGAGCAGAAGTTTGACATGAACTAAAAATTTTGCGAAAAAATAAGCAAGTTCTCAGATAAGATCGTTTGAACGCAGTCACAACACCACGCAACGTCACTGAAACTGTACTCACTTCGCCGCCAGGATTCACTTCTCGAGGAATAGTCATGAAATCGACGGATAAATCCATCCATTTCGTGGCAAACTGATCATGCACGCCTTTCTTAACCAAATGAAACGTTCTAAGTAACAGATTGAAAAAAATTGCAGCACCTACAAATGTCAATTGACTTTGCTGCCTGTGAACATAACCATACCTCTTTGCCAAGGAGTGCTTTGGGAATCACGCTGCCAAGCAAGGATTACCCACGTCAGTCTCCGCCAAGCTTTCCAAGTGGTGCAGTGCTATGACAGACTCTACAATCGACATCTAACTCAATGCTGTATCTTGTCATGCGCAGGAATTATGATGAACTCTTCATCGCTGAATCCCAGGTCAATTCACTCAGTTGGAAGAAGATAAAGGGGTATAGAATGGCCGTTAAGATTGAGGATTCAACGACATACCCCACAACATTCCCCCCACCAGAATCGACTGTCTGCGCCACTTGGCCCATGAGACCTATACTTCCACCGCCGTATACCAAGTCAATCTCCCGCTTCACCTGCACCAGCGAACGCTCACCAAGTGAACAAGATTCGACCCGAGTCAGAATCCAATAAGTCTGCGTGCGATGAAGGAAACTGAGAGGAAGGGGGATTTGTGATCCTCAGGGTGCAAATTGATGGAGAGCAGGAGCGCTAACGGGATTAGGTCAAAAGAGTGAAAATTTTGTTGAAGAGTTGTATGCAGAAGTCATATTCACTGACCAATTCTCGGCCCAGACTAAGCGCTTCGTTGGTAAAGACATCTTTTCTACCGCTGCTGCTGCCGCAGAACACGCATATCCTTCTGAACCGTTTCGCTGTGGAAGCATCATTGTCGCTGGTCCCCAGCTGATCCTCCATCCCTGTTTTCTGCGGCGGAGGGTTCTTCCCAAGAGCTGCTGCGCTTCAGCCGAGCTCGACACCCTACAGCAAGATCGAAAGGAAAACACCACAATTGTGTGCCGTGTCCACGCGGCTAGAGTTTGATCCAGACACCAATTCCCCCAATGAGCGTCAATAACGACTTCTCGCTTCTGTAGCTCTGCAAGATCCACATAAATACGAATCAGGAACAACATTGCGACTCATATCAGCAGAACAGTCCAAACGGCGCAGGCGTTGTTTCAGAAAAAGACATCATTGGGTGAAAGCGGCAAAAGAAAAGGGTACATTCGCAAGGGGGTTAAGCTAAAGAACACGAGCACATCAAAAAGGTAAAGAGGATCAACACAAGCGGAAGCGGAAGGATTGAAACCCCCAAAGTTGTAACGGCGCCGCGACAAACCAGTGCCGCCCAACCAGAAAACCGAAGATTCGCAACCCGCCCAACCAGAAAACCGAACAAGTGGCGCTGACGGTTGAATGAAGCATGAGGCTGCTGATGAATGCTTACATGAAGTGTGAGATCGGGAAGGGGATCGATAGGCTTTAGATCTCGACGTGCGAGGACGACGACAATCGCGAGAGATCGGGTTCTGCATGCTGGAGCTCAAGCACCGAAGGGACCCGCTTTGTCTCCCCCCGCCGCATGCAAGCATTTATGCTCTCTCTCCGTCCTCTGGACGAAGTCGGCGTCCGCGAGACGGTGACCAGAGGACGACGCGCATTGTGGTTCGTTCCTTAGCGTCCCCCCAAACATCGATTCTACGTAGAATTTGAAGCATCTGGCCCCCTTGGTCTTGGTCTATTCCCTTATTAGCCATTCCCCATGATAAATTTACTTTTACAATTTTAAAATGAATACAATAAAATTGTGCATGCGTTTCTGTTGAAAATAGATCAGACTGTTACATAATAGATTAGCATTTGTACTGAAAAACAAAATATGTTTTTTGATGATTTTATTTATTTATTTGTTTTTAAATAAAGATTTCTTTTTTTCAGAAGGTGTAAATTAATTTTTATTTTATTTTATTTTATTTTATTGTACTTTTTTCACATGAATTTACATTGTATTGTGATTATGTTGCATTAAACATGAAGCATATGAGTATTTTTCCAAATGTTTTCTTCTTGTTTTGAGTGTCATTTGCATCTTTTAGTTCTTGAAATTTGATGGATAGGCTTATTGTGCCTGAGTATTTTTGTATCATTTGTAATGTGATTTTATGGTGAAAATATATAATATGGATGCAATGATATCTGATGGATCCGTTTATTTTTTGTGATTTATGTGAGATGTGATTCCTAAAGGTGGGTACATTAAATTTTTTTGTAGATTTTTTTTAATTTTTTATTTGGAATATTCTTAGTATTACCTGATAAAGTACTTCTTTAACACAAGTGTTACTTTACCAAGTTTTCCTGCAAACAAAAGCTCTTTCCATACCATGACCACTCATCAAATATCTTCTACATGCTTTAAAAACAAATGCTTCCAAAGTCACAAAACTCACCATATCTACAGAAGCTAATCAATTTACATATCCAATAGGGGTTTATATTTATATTGAAATACAAAATTTAGCAAGGAATTCAAAAAAAAAAAAAAAAAAAAAAAAAAAAATGGTTTTAAAATGTAGACTTTGTAATGAAAAGTGAAGTCTTTAAATACTTTTGAGCACGTCGTTTAAAGAACCATTGTATTTTAAAGTCAAGATAAAGATTTGAATTAAAAAAACACAAATTGAAGCATATATATGTATGTATGTATGTATGTATATATATATATATATATATATATATATATGTGTGTGTGTGTGTGTGTGTACACGTGTCTATATATATGTTCTTTTTCTTGGTTTTGTCTCATGTTGTGGAGTTGCTATGGCATATCCACCGCAACCACAATTCCATGTTTGCAATCATGTACTACACATTGAACTCCACCAGTCCTTTGGAAGTCATTGCAACGTAGATGTGTTTTTCTTTTAAACTCTTTGTTTCTAAGAGGCAAAACTAGCTGAATCATGACAGCACCCACGCATAGCCTATTCTAAAAATCCTATTCTGGTTCTGCTCTACTTTAGCACTGTAACTGGCTGATGAGCCTGGCATCTACTGCTTCCTTTTACTCTCTGTGGAAGCTAAGAAAACGATGCTCTGCAACAAAATTTCGGCCGCGGAAGGAACAATGTCCACAAGGAAAAGGGCAAAAGGAGAAAGGGAAAGAAGCTTGCTACCACATGGGTCATAGAGCTGCACTGGAAACAGCAGGCTCATATACGAGGCTTTTTGCATCTTCCCATCGAAGCTTGGGAGCACTCAGATCTCGAACCAACGTGTAGGCCTGCACGTTAACGACGCAAATTTGTTTTAAAATAATAATTAATAACAACCTAATACACTATCACATGCAGTTGATGTGGGATTTGAGCAATGAACAGGTGACCAGTCGCATAATACCTCCAGCTTGTCGAGAAGCTCACTCGGTGTTCGTGCGGACACCACTATGCTGCGAGCTGAAAACTGGAGGAAGCCCTCCTCCAGAGCCTTGTCGAAAAGTGTTAACAGAGGGTTGTAATACCCGTCGACGTTGAGCAGGCCGACCTGAATGACAAGCACAGAATCAGACACCAGAACATGTAAGAGTATTAAACTTGCACTACTGTCGTGTGAGATCTGAGATCTGAATTTTGAGGAGACTGGGTTATGCCTCAACCAGGTTTTGTGTTTTCATGAGTTGGGGAGTGCAAGCGTCAAACAACTCACTGGCTTCTCGTGAATGCCGAGCTGGGACCAGGTGATGACCTCGAGTAACTCCTCGAGTGTGCCATAACCGCCTGCACACGGACTTGGTTCTATCAGTGAATGACATTTGACGTTCTATGTTGAAGTGTTACACTGAAGTTCTTGATAAGTTGAATGCAAGAGAGGAATATTGGCGTGACCTGGGAGAGCTATGAAGGCATCCGCTTCTCGAACCATTTCCGCTTTCCGTTGGTGCATGTCACTCACTGCCACAAGCTTCCCCACTGTTTGCCCCGAAATCTGCATACGTATGAATCATAAATGAGAGTTTTCTCCCGTTAATTGTGGTAGTTTTAAAGCTGTTCTCTACACGTGGAGTTTCTGCGATTTCCAGGATGTTTTTGCAGAGATAGTCCGCGACTGAACGCTCACTTTGCAGGAAGGACGAAATAGGGCTAAAACCCTTGTAAAATATGGTTAGAAAGTGCGGACCTCTTGGCCGATCAAAGCTTTGGGTATCACACTGCCAACCATCCAATTACAGCCATACCCCATAGCAATGCATTCCCGTCAATACCTTCAAAGCAACCATGGTGCCCAGAGAAATCCAGATTTAGCAAGTTCCAATTGCGATCAATCAACAACTAGGTCTTCAATTAATCATCAAAGCATAAGAGAAAGCCTTTCAGTAAACCCTACCGACCTCCCTAAGCGTGAACATTCTCCTAATATCGATAAGAAATGTGGATTCTGCCGTGTATCCAATCTAGGAAAAACCTTCGCAGGTAAGCCTCGAGTGGGAAGATGCATGGGGATTGAAAGCCGTGCTATCCGACGTCGGGAGCAGACACATGTCTTCCCAAGCTAATCACCATCATAGAAATAAGTGAGCAGAATAGCACTGACGCCCTACTTTTCTCTAGTCAAGGCCAGCAATCGAATTTTGAGATGTCGCTTGACCACTGTGTAGGGTGTAAAGTAATGAGGTGATTGTGTGTACCCTATAACATGACCACCTCCGTCGTGCACAGTTTGCGCCACTTTACCCATTAATCCATTGCCACCTCCACCATACACCAAGTCTATTTTCCTCCTCACCTGCACAAGATCACCGGAAAACATTCGTGATGAGTTGGATTTATGGATGAAGGGGTGAAGCTTCGTCGCCCTAAGGTTTCCTATAATTGCTTTGATGACTTTGGGAAGGTCCGTTTGTATGATCATCCAAATCCTGCAGCTTGCAAATTACAGCTGTCTGTGCTACTGGAGTGATTTGCCGATACACAGCAGAGGATTTAATGTTCAAAAGATGATTGACAGCAATGGATGAGCTGCGCTGGTAGTGTAACGGAGAGGCTACTATGTGAAGCAGCCCCTGCAAAAGCTTAGACCCCAGCTGCGGCACTTGATCATCCATCAGTACCCCTGTCAGGCTGCACTGACCGTGTGCCCTCAGTAATCTGAAACTCCCATCATTCCAATGTGTGGAATTCATGCTCTTCACGGCCAGTGGCTCATGTATTGGATCGTATTTTACGTACGACTCACGGCCTCTCTCTGAATGAGAAGCGCAGACACATAAGAACATACAGCCAGCGGGGAGGCCGTGTCAGTCGGTGAGAGCACGTCCTCACCTAAATTTCGTGAAACACACAATGGAAAGTTCAAGGTGGTAGAGGGAGAAGCTGGAGACTGAGAAGTTCTAACCGACCAATTCTCGGCCCAGGCTAGACGCAACGTCGCTGAAGATGTCTTTCTTGCCGCGGCTGCTCCCACAGTAGACGCAAATCCTCTTGAAGCTTCGACGCGAGGAGATTGCCGCTGGCAATTCCTCGAGGCCGCCGTCGCGACGAGAGCTCACGCCCGGAAGAATGCGAGGCTCCACCTCGGACTGCGACGACAGCTCTTGCCTCCCCATCGATTCTCGGCTAGGCCTCGAGCTCGACTCGCCCGTTTGCTGCTGCACCTTCATGAGCGCACTCGACCCTCCCCGAGACGCGCTGCAGTCAACTTGCAACTCACCCAACTCCGACGTTCTGTGTGAATTCCACCCGTCCGTGCCGGGCTGTGGGCGTGTAGTCACTGAGAGACGATCAGCAGCGTGCGCAGCAATACACGCCTGGGGACGAGGGGCTCAGCGACGATGGATGTATCCAGGGTGGCTGATGGACCGTGGGGGCAACGAGCATGTGCATGGACGATGCCGCGCACGACATGAGAGAGAAGAGGACGAGGCTTAGAAGGAGGAGAGTGGGAGAGAGGGAGAGAGGAGGGAAGCAGTGCACCCTGTCAAGTAAAGGAAAGGAAACAGCGCGCCTCATCCGCAATCTGGCAACTGATTCGCAACTGCTGGGAGCAGCGCCTGGCGCGTCCTGGCTCGGTGGGGTGGGGTGGGATGATGGGGCGTAACGCGCTCCCTCGCGCCCCTCGCAGCGCCACACGCCGCGTTTGTTGCGTGTCGAGCTCGTCCCCCTGAGGCCGCTGACGCGCGCTCGCGTGACGCCACTCGCGTTCTCGAATCTTCTTTCAGTCCGAAGAGTCCTCTTCTTATTTGGGCTTTGATAATCTCATCAATGGGACACGTTTGTGAATAATTTTGGGTGTTTTGCAAGTTGGTTTTGTCATTAGACATTACGTCTCAATCATATAACTTGATGAGGTAATTTTTGTAACAAAAACTTATCAATACTTTGTGTGTTCCTCCTTTCTTATTTAAAAAATAATATAAAAATAAAATAAAATAAATGCAAAAGTTTTGGTTTTTTAATTATATTTTTTTTGTGAAGTTTAAGTTTTGAAGTGATTTCCTTATAGGATAATTAAAATTTTGATTGAATATAATTCAGCAAGATTAAAAGAAATAGTAGATTCAATCCATGATCATTGATGCGTTTAAATGTAAGTTCAATGTATAATGCTTTTGAACAATTATTTTAGTGTGTTTTATTTTTTATTGTTTTGATGGTCACTATCATGTGTATATATATAGATTAATTTTTTTTACAGATTTAATTATAGAAAATATATGTTACAAACAAAACACAATGCATGGTAGTTAAGGTTAAAATTTCAACAACTACAAAGAATTTTCAAAAACATTTGCTTAAAATTATTGTATTTACTTGAAAAAAAAAGGAATTACAAATAAATATTTGAAAATTCTAATTAAATTAATGAGAGTAGCAAATAAATTACCTATTTTTTATATTGAAATATTTTTCTTTGCATCTCCTCTACAATTTTGCAACTAAATATTATATCTAAATAGGATTTTTTTTCATATCCAAATATTAAGTTTTAAATGAATAATTTTACAGAAAAATAATTTTAAAAATTAAAATTTTAACTTCTTTATGTAAAATTAATTAAAATCAAATAAATAAATAAAATTTTAATAAATTTTAATGTATGTTAAGGATTTCTCCACTTGAAAACAATCAAATCATGATTTTTGTTATAAGATCAACATCAATTAGTTTAACATAAACATTATTACAACGTACCATGAATATTCTATGATACCATCACATCAGATACTTTTTAAAAAACACCTTATTGTTAATACTACAATATATTCATGAATGTATTTTTTTAAATGTATTAATGTCATGTCACAGATAGCATTAGATTCTATGGTCCAAAAAAAGATACACAAATAAAAAATCTGCACACAAATTTTGTGATTTTAATATTTTCAGTAGTACATGTGTTAGCTTTCAAAACTACAACAATCTAATTATCAACTTCTACCCAAAACCGTGTACTTGTGATTGGTTGAATTAACATTTTTGTTTGAATTTACTGAAATGGTACATCATGCCATGATGACTTTCGTGTAACGTTTTACAAGGTGCTTTTCAAACTAATGAAATCAGTAAAAAAATAAAAAAACTTTTGATGATAAATCAAGTGTAAGAAAATTTATCAAAAGGATGAAAAATAGCAATATTTTTTTGATATCATAACTTTGAAGATACAAGTTTCTTGGGCAAACGAAAATCAATTTTTTTATTTTACTACTTATATTTTTAATTTGGATTTTGAAACATAATTTTATATAAATATTAAAAATCAATATCACAATTAATTCTTATTATTTTTCTTATTATATATTTTAAAAATTAGGATCTAATTATCATCAAATAAAATCAGTTAAAATTTAACAATAGTATATGTAAATATGCATATCAATCTTATATATAAAATTAAGAATATATAAAAAATTGATATATACATTTTTTTGAAAATCTATACCTATCAAAATAACTAAAAATTAAAACTAATTTAAGGTTAGATTTTAAATTATTTGAATTCATAAAATATGTTTATAAAATTTTCTAACAGATTAAAAAAATATGAAAATGAAATTATTTTTATGAAAGACTTAAAAAATAAAAATATTTTTATTTAAATAAATTATGTTTTTTTTATTTTCATTGATTTATTTAAGATCTAGTATGTACTTTTATTTTTATCTAAAATTCTACAATATTCATATTATTTCAAAAACTTACATATTCTTAATAATATATCTAGTTAAGATTTATTTATGATATTAATATTTAAGATATCAATAATAAATTTAATATAATTTTCTAACAAACTCACATTTTTAAATTTTGAATCTATTTTAAGATTATTTTAAAAATAGTACTTAATTTACATAGAATTTATTTATAGATATCTTTTTAAAATTCTATATTGTATTTTAAATTATTTTTAAAATATGTATTATGTGTTATTTTGAATTTTAATTATTAGACCATAGTAGCAAAGGTTTCTATAAAATAATTCTCAAGCTTGACCTTTAAATAAAAACCATCTAAAAAAAATTCATTTGTAAGGAATTAAGGTTGGGCAAAAGATCCTTTATCTTGTCTATTTGTCTATTAGTTTAGAAGAAATTGCTAGAGTGTTGAAAAAACAAATCTAAAATCACATGTAAAGAAAAACAAACATAGACTAGAGCTATTTTTCTAAGATTTAGAAAAACACATACATGCAATTGTGGCTCTACAAATTCTAACATCTAGAATTGATAAAATCTTCAAATATTGTCTATAAAGTATCCTAGCTCCTACCAAATAGGGCGTATACCAAGCTATGGGAGGTATTGCCTCTTATTCCCTCCTATCAGAAAGGGGCTAAACAAATATCATTGTATCACTTTAGAACTTCTAAAGAAACATATTAAATTGCATGGCAAGAAAATCTACTATGTTACACATTAATTTTTAAAAAATACAAGATGATTTTATAATAATATCTATTTTGTCTATGTAAAATATAATTTAATATTAATATGATATATCACACTTTGATATGTTTTCTTCTATTTAGATTATTTTACGTTTAATAAGTTTAATCTAAGATTTTTTAATATTTTATATTAAGGTTTATGAACACCAACCTCTATTCTACAAATATTAGATGTAATTTGATTATATTTTTCTTTGTATACCTTCTACAAGTTAAGCATGATTATTTAATAAACTCTTGTAGTTTAAAATTTTTTGGGCTTACAATGGCATATTATAAGAAGGCTAAAATTTAATAGTGCTTTAGGAAATTTGACTTAGAATAAAAATTTAAAATATTTGAAGAAATATCATTTCTTTTAGTATTTATTTTAGTAAAATGTAAGATATTTTTGAATACTATAGTACTAAAAAAATTTAACACTAGATTTTTAATTCTTTTTTAAACCATTCTACCTAATATAAATAATTATCTTTAGTATACTTGAATCAAATTTTCTTTGATATAATTCTTTTAAAATAATAACTTATTTTTAATTATAAATTTATTTTTTATAATATAAGAATTTTAAATTCTTTTACTTTGAATTGTTTTAAGAAAAACTATGTTATCTCAAAAACAATTCATTTTCAAAGATTTTTCTATTTTATTATTATTTATTAATTTATACTTAATTCTTATTTGAAATGTAAGAATGTCTTTAACTTCATTGTCCAACTATTAATAATTTTGTAATATTTACCACTGGAAATCAGTCTTGAATTTAAATTCTTATTAAGCAATTTCATGCTTGCATGTTGGAAGAATTAATATTGGAAGCATGAAATTGTATGCAAATTTATATATATATATATATATATATATACATATACATACATACTTACATATATATACATATACATACATATGTATGTATGTACATATATATATATGTATGTATGTATATGTATATATATGTATGTATGTATGTATATGTATATATATATACATATATACATACATACATATATACATACTGGTGGAAACCCATGTTGTATGAAATTTTTTGTGTGTGTATATATATATATATAAATATACATGTGTATATAAAGACAGGATTACACATTGTTGAATAGAAAAATTTTTATTGTAAATTAACTAATTTAGTCTTAAAATTAATTTGTGATTAGTTAATTTGTAAATAGAACAAATTTAGTCTTAAAATTAACTTCATTATTTATTTACAATGAGAGCGATGGCCCACAAATGATAAGAATTCATCCATACATGGATGAAAAAGCCGCATTCGTTGTTCCCTCTCCATATAAACACAAACAGAATGGGGAACGCGTGTTCCCGTCGCTTCCTTCCGCCTGGGGGGCCCCCACTCGACCACACCCGAGCTCGGGAGCACATTGCCACACGCCCCCCGAGCTCGGGTGGAGGCTACCTACCTACCTACCGCGTAGGGCGGCAGTTCAGACGCTGAGCTCGGGTTGAGAGAGGCCTGCAGGCCTGTCCCCACTCGGGGACTCGGTGAATACGGTTAGTTGGAAACCGCCAAGTCCAGGCGGCGGTGACAACACACAACGCCAGTGCATCTTCTTAAGTGATCGAACAACGCTGCGGTTCTTGCAGCGATCCCCGTAACCACTTACTTACCGTCATCTCCCCATTTTCTTCCGTCACTAGATAGTCTAGTAAGTAAGTAGTCCTGCTTCTGTTCGGTTCTGCTTATATCCTTCCCCCCAGGGGACCTTACATTTGTTGAGGTGCAGGCGGCATTGGATCATTCATTGTGCGAGGTGATGCTACACAAGCTGATGATGATGATGATGCGACGCTGGTTTGGGCACTATGGGTAGACTGCAGTGTTGGAGGTGCTTCTTTGTCTTTGGCTGAGAATGGGCTTTGGTTTTTGATGCGCAGCCGTGAGTGAGTGAGCCCGGGACTCGTTGAAAACGAAAGGTAGGGTGGGCTTTTCTCAGATCCGTCACCTCGACATTCTACTTCGTTGTAGACTACGATGCGAGGGGTTGCGAGTTTATGAACACCTTTTCTGTGTGTATGGTTTGTGCGTAGAGAAACTGTCATGGATGCAGTCAGTATGACGAGGGTGCGTGTGTTGTTTGTGCTCTCTCTCCTTGGCGGAGCTTTCGCCGATCTCGCCTCGCAAGGTATGTGAAATTCGTTTTCCTCTGTCTAATTCGTTAACTTCCTGCAACGTTTTCGAAGAGTGCAGTTGTGGGAACTAGATGGCTCTTGTGTAAGGTTTGTTGTGGGTTGGGGGCGTGCAGAGGGTGCGCTTTTGTCTTTCAAGAATGCTTTAGAGAATCCAACGGCGTTGAGCTCGTGGAACCAGCAGCTGACCGACGCTTGCTCTGGCATATGGCGAGGGGTGGAGTGCGACGACGCGAAAGCTTCCATCACCAACTTGTAAGCTAATTTCAACTGTATATGAGTCCCGGATCACGCAGATTATCGGTCATGTATGTGATAACTGTCTGACATTCAAAGGACTTACATCGGAGGTCGACTTTGTTTTGGTTACCAATACAGGACGCTGGAAGGTGGCGATTTCACTGGAGAAATTCCTGTAAGCATTCTGCTATCGAAAAGTTTTAAGATTTGATGATGTTAATGAATTACTGAGGTCTACGTTGTGGAGACTGATGAACTTCGGTGAAATATGAGCAGAATGATATCAATCGAATGAAGTTCTTGAGTTCATTGACCATCCGGAATACTGCTTTCCTGGGTGCCATTCCCCAAGCAATAGCCGACCTTCGCAACCTGAAAACCCTGTGAGCTCATTCAGAACATTGAAGACGTCTCATCATTCTCATATCTGAAAACTTTGATTCGTAGCATCTGGTTACGATTGTCAGGGGAACTGATTGAGGTGTGCATCTCCTTTCAGAATCGTTGCAAACAACCCGCAGCTGAACGGTACTTTTCCGACGTGGGTGATGAGCCTCAAGAACCTTGAGCAGCTGTGAGTTTCTCCGCACTTTCATCCGCACTGTCGATAGTTCGGCGATTCATCAACTGCTTGATTTGTGATCTAAAAGATGAATGCTGTGGTAATTCTGTAGGAGCTTGGCGGGGAACAATTTAACGGGCTCTATAATCGGTTGTAACAACACAACACAGGCCAAGTACGCGTTCTGAACACCCCACCAATTAATTTTAGACTCCACTTTCGCCAATTGAAGAAAATGCTCCATATGCTTTAAATGTTTGATGTGAACTTGCTGGCATGCGATTGATTGCGGTGCTCGGTTGGTGTGTGGGTAGAAACTTCTCGGTACCGGTTGCAGGTGGAGTCACGGTCGAAGTACCGTCGCCTTACACCGATCTAGTGAATGTAACGCTTCCGAATGTGCCGGTGCTGATGTTCAGGCCGCAGAATGTCACTTTGCCCACTGTGGCCATCCCCATTCTGATGTTCAACACACTTCCGAATGTTTCTGCACCGTAAGAGTTTTCCATCTTATCTCCCTCGATTTCACAAGTCGTCTCAAGCACTGAATTGAAGTTCGGTTTCACCATTTTTCGTCTAGCAATGTGGATTTAAACATAGTGTGAAATGGTTGTGGCATGATGATGCATCGGGAGCAGAAACCTGACGGATGTCACGATCACGAGTCCTCTGTAAGATGTCGACGACTCTTACCCCACGATTCTGTCGGTCTGCTCATGGAGCTCTAATACCGAGCCTTCCTGATTCAATTGTTGCGATTGATGTCGTGATTGAACACATAGTTTTATTTTGTTTTGTGGAAAAGACATCACATCAGCTCTTCGAAGTGAAGGAGAGTGGTTCCTAAGTTCCTCTTGTTAATGCAATTGGTGGATTTCTGTTAAGCAGGGTATTCATGTGTCCTAACGTCTCCATCCCATCTCCTTCAAACATGTACGGTATTCTTCCACTGTGTTCTTTCAGCTTGGCCGCATGCTCATCTATCCTGTACCCATGCATCGTGAGAATACTGCATTACTGAAAATCCTTATGTGGCACTTCGTACTGCAGAACCTTGCATACTTCAAACTGGACTATTCAACCCACGTTGCAGCCGCTGTAAGCGTCATCTCTATCCTTCGCGATTATTGCTATTACATGCTGAAAGATATGCTTGTAATTGACAATGTCACTCAAATTTTGGGTTGTGAACTGCTTGCAGCAACTGGACGCTAGATTTCCCGAACCTTTCGCCCCCGTAAGTTACATGCACATTTTTAAAGTTTCAAGCCGCATCTTTAAAGTTTGCACAAACTGAATTTCGATCACTACCGGCAGAACTTTGCTGATTTTATCAATTGGTTGCACTTATGAGGAACTGGACATACATGAGTTGGTGTCGCAGGATAGCCCGTGTGAGGAATTTTACGTGGCCAACTCTGCCCGCGTCGTAAGCCCTCGGATTACTACATCCCTCTTCTTATAGAGCAATTTTCCGTTTTAATAATTTCCCACACAACAGAAAAATGTCATGGAGACAGAGTTCGCACAGATCTTGGTGGTGCAACTCGAATAGCTTAAATCGACGCTTGTCTTCGAGGCAGCCTATTTCTCTGCATTAAACATGTTCATTATTCCTCAAAGGCATGTAATTGTTAATTGATCCAACGTTATTATGCTCCTTGGCGCAGGAACAAGTCAAACTTCACACAGCCATGGTAATTAGCCTCTGACTTGACACATCTATTCTCTAAACTGCAAATACGTCGAAGAGTTGAAACTTGCCCATCGAGGCATAATCTCTACTCCTGTTATCACGAGATCAGTAAAAAAACAGCATTCTAAACCCACATCGCATGAGTTTGCAACCGAATAACGTTACCTAATGTTTAGAGTTATGGTTTGAGGGCCGCAGGATTGTTGTGACTGCCACCATGTTCAACTGGTCGACGTTTGCCTGGTAATTAGCTATTCTTCGGTAAACCTCGTTTGTGAGCTTAGCTTCGCCCTGTTCGAAATTTTGCAATGGGGTTATTGGAGAAACTAGAATTATCCTGTCTCTACGTAGGTGTTGTGTATGGTGAGAAATCTTTTCCACTGATTTGTGGGTTGAGCGTCGAATTTCGCTTTGATCAGGAACATCTCTGAAGGGCCTTCAATCGATGTGCCTGGCGTTGAGAAACCAGTGCGCTGTGTGTAAGTTTCACTGCTTTGAGTTTGTGCATATATATATAGTTCTTGATAATTTTATCATTTGCAGCAGTGTCAGTAAGTACGTACGTATGTGTGTGTACATATAAATGTACTCAATATAATTTACCAATGTTAATCATAGTGTAAGCGGATATGCAGAAACGTTTCAGTTCCAAATCCTTTCCCCTGGACTTCTCCAGATATTTCTAAATTGTGAGATACAATTCTCACCACATTGTATTTACTAGAGAGGTTCATTGAGATAGAGTTCATTTTGATTTGTATGTTTTATTGTATCTGTTGAAATTTGCCATGTTTAGGAGCTGGCATTTGGTGTTTGTATAATGGAGTTTATTTAAACTATTTTTAAGATGTCGTTCATGATTTGTGTCAAAATTACCCTTTAGACATGGATGAACATATAAATTAATAAATAAATAAAAATTGCATTTTAATATGTGAATGTTGATGATGTAGGAACTTCACATTTCCAGTGTTTCCGCCTTCACAGAGGAGTCCATGGTTCAGTGTTATAAACAGAACCACCTTCCCACCTCTTCCTTCTATTCCTTGGAATCCTTTTAAATTTGGTCTATCTCCTCTACCTCAATTCCAACCACCTAATTTTACATTTCCTGATCTTCCTCCCTTGCCCCAACTTCCTCCTTTAAATTTCACATTACCTCCTTTACCCCAACTCCATCCTCTTAATTACACATTTCCACCTTTGCCCGAAGTGGTCCCTCCTAATATCACAGTACCACCTTTATCTCCTCTTCCTTCCATTCCACCTCTCATAAATGACCCCGTTTTTAACATCTCAAATATTACTTCATTCCCACCGTTACCAAGTGTTCCACAATCTCCGCCACTTCCCCTACCAAATATCACCTTACCAACATTTCCACCCCTTCCACCCCTCAATTTCCCCTCTTCCAATGTGTCTAGATTTCCTCCCATTTTTAACACTACTTTTCCAAAGTTTCCACCCTTGTCTCCAATTCCAGGACTCCCAAGTGTGGGTGTTGGAGTGAATGGTAGTGTGGGTGTTAACACCACCATTCCAAGTGTTGGAATTAATGGAACTGTTTGTGCAAACGCAACCACTCCGCCAATTGGGTCACCTCTTTCGGGTACCATTATCAATTCTACAATCCCTTCACTACCACCTAATTTTACATTTAGTAATCCACCACTCCCTCACCTTATGGCTCCTAATTTCACCTTTGTGTTTCCACCTTTGCCTCACTTCACACCACCCAACTTTACTTTCCCACCTCTAAATCCTAATTTTACACATTCCAACTTTACTCTTCCACCACTTCCCGAGTATACTCCACCTAATATAACATTGCCATCAATCCCACCTTTGCCTCAATACACACATCCTAATTACACCTTGCCCACCGTGCCACCAAGTTATGAGATTTTGCCCCCAAATTTCACATTTCCTCCCTTGCCTCAAATTGTTCTACCAATTAATCTCACTCTTCCTCCAATTCCTCCCTTCATACCACCAAATGTGACTCTCCCACCTCTTCCTACTATTACTAAACCTAATTTCACCTTTTATGATATTCCACCTTTGCCACAATATGAGCCTTCTAATTTAACTTCACCTCCTCTTCCAGAACTCACACCTCCAAATTTAACGTGGCCATGGCCATGGTCCATTGGAATTAATCTCACAAATATTACTATTGGGGCCCCTTTTCCATCCATCCTACCTTTGAATGAAAGTATTCCTAACTTGCCTCCATTGCCATCTATTTTCCTTCCAAACTTTACAGTTCCGGGTCAATCTATGTAAGTTTTCAAACTATGAACCCTTGTTTACTTTTCTTGAGCTTTAGAAATATCAATAGTTTAGTTTTATAAAACTTTTTTATAAAATTGTTTTATAAATTATTTCTTTTATCCATGATGAAGAAAATAAATTACCAATGATTTTTCGTTTTAAATTCTTCATAATTATGATTAGTTTGAACAATAATAATAATAAGTAGGCATACTAATTTTTGTGTTCAATTCATGTTGTGAATAGATTCAACTTTACAAATCCATATCCTGGATACAAACCTCCAATGTATGTAGAAAAATCATTATAGCAGTTGTTAATATTGCTTCCCTTTGATATTTTCCATTGCAAACTGTATATTAGAATTTGAAGAATAGCATGCAACTATTTATTTATTTATTTATATATATTCAACCAGACTTGTATTCTTCATAAATTACATGATATGTTTTTTGAAGCTAAACTTGTTTGTGTATACTCACATAACCTTTTATATTTATAGGTATGTTTGGCTTTTATTTTATGCAGGCCTGGAACACCTCCTTGTGATGATATAAAAGATGAAAAATCACAAGTGCTTGTCAAACATAACAACAAAACACGCCACTTATTGGAGCTTGATAATTCGCATTTGTAAGACACCTGAATTCATTTCCCATACCATTTTTTTTTTTTTTCATTTCATTATTCTTTTTGCTATATTTTATTTTTTCATTTAATTTTAATATTTATAACGTCAATAACAGTTAAACTAATTTATATTGTGGTGGCAATTGTAGAACTCAAGGTCATCAGCCTCAAATGAGTGGTCTTCACAATCTAAAATTCCTGTAAAAATTTCGATTTTCCAATATTTTTTGTAAATTATTATTTCATCACATTATTTTATAATGTGTGTTTACATATTTTTACATAAATGCCTAAAAAAAAATTATATACAACATCTTACAATACATTCAAATCTTTCATTTTGGCTAACTCATTCTTAGAAAAGGTATCATTCTTTTTAATTAATTTTTTGTTCTATTGTATTCACTAGTATTGTGTATGCATGCAGAGATTTGTCAAACAACGCTTTTACTGGAAAAATTTCTGAGAATTTGAATGCTTTACTTCCCAATTTGAAGCATGTGTAAGTCTTCACAATGAAGGACTGGTCTCAAATTAAATCATGCGATGTTATTTTTTTTCTTATTCATTACTTGTATGCTTAATATTTGAACACTATAGTATATTTCTAAATTCATATTTATATATGTGTTTATATATATTTATTATTTTTCAAAATGATGCTATAGAGATTTAAGCAACAACAAACTTGAAGGCCACGTACCACAAGCCCTTCTTAAGTCCAAACTCAAATCCATGTAAGACAAATAATTATATATTTATATTGAAATTTTGATCATGTATTTTTTGCCACATGCATGATTTTTTTATTTTTTTATTTTTTTTCTCAACATGTAATTTTCACATTTTTACTTCAGAAATAACATCAAATGAGTATTGCATAAAATTATTAAAAATGCAACATTGATTCCAGTTTAATGTACGTTTTATTGATTATTACACATTACATTGTCTATTTTTGTTTTAGAAATTTGGCAAACAATTATTTTAGTGGACGGCTTCCACGCATGAAAACTCAAAAATATGACCTCTTGTAAGTATTTGAAATTTAAGATGAAAAAAAAATCGAATTCTTCTAGAAAATTTGTGGATTTCGTCTCACTGTCTTTTTCTTTTTTCTTCCCTTTTCTTTTGGATACCTAATGAAAAAAATTATATAGAAAACAATTTAATTTATTCATCAAATATATTGGTCGATTTATTCAATGCTGCAACATACAAATCCAATACAATGCAACATTAACAATAATAATAATAATAAAATACCAATAAAAAGATTTAATATGGAATCTGGTATGATTTTAGGGATGTAAGCAATAATTGCTTAACTGGTATTCTGCCCAGAAAATCTGCAAAATCTTCCTCTGAGTAAGTTTGCATCCCACTTTATAAGTTTAATTGTGAGCTTCTTACTTTGGGTTTTAAAAAAAACAAAACAAAATAAATCAATTGCATAAAACTTATTCAATCATGAGTTTCATAAACAATTTTTTCTTTTTTTTGCCCATTCCATCCACAGGTTTTATTATGGCCAAAAGTGTCCGCCAAATTCAAAGCACTGTAAGTGTGGTAAGTTTAACAAGCACAATCCATAGTTTTCATATAATGTTCATGATATTTGATTTTTTTAATGTGTATTATTATGTTATATATATATATATATATATATATATAGTAAGTTAACTTACATTCTAGTACTCTAATTTTTAAGGGTTTCTGTTTATTTTATTTTGTTTTTTTGTTATGTGATTTGTACAGCAGTTCATAGAGCCAAGTGATATGGATGAAGAAAAACACACACAAACATATTTTGTAGGTAGGAAAATGAAATAAGTTGATGAAAATCGTTGTCTTTATGGCAACTGATTTTTCTTTAGAATATAGAAGGGTATGAATTAGGATTAAATAAATGGAAGGAAAAGTAGAGCTTAGTATGTGGAGTTTTAAACTAAAATGAGAGCAAATCCTTTACAATAGTTTAATAAATGATAAAGGAATAGAGAATAAACATGTTAATATTGCACTAAAAAAAAGGACCCTTTTCATGTGTGTATGGGAGAAATAACTACTGTGCTAGTTTGAAAATTAGTTGATTTTATACAACTAATAAATTTTCATTACTTTAACAATAATAATAATAATAATAATTTCAATATTTTGTTACTAATTTCATTATTTCTAGAAGAAATCTACGAAAAATTTATTATAAATCCATTGCAATTAAATGATATTTAAACAAGTTGTGATACTAAGTTTCAATGTAATTAAAAAAAAAATCAAGTAAATGATTATGAGAAATCTTATGAATCCATTCAATGGTTGAAACAAAAAGAAAGATTACCCATTTATTTAAACGTCTTTTACTAAGTAGAGAAATTAACTCACAACAATTCTAATACACTTGTTGTGACATTATAACACACTGAAAATCCTCAATCAGACTAGTTTTGTTAAATAATTCTATTACACGTCAATATGAAATTTTCCATAAAAAAGAGTAAAAGTAAAAATAATAAATGATTAAAAATCAGAATTTCATACTTCATTAAAATAATTATAAAAAGATAAGAAAAAAAAATCACGAAATAAAACACCCCTGAGTAATATTTTTTTATTGAAGCACATACATTTATAATTAAGATAGTTACATCTTTGCAATGTAAAGAATAAAATCAAAATAAATTCTGTAAGTCAATCAAGCTAACATTGGAATTTGTTTTAATTTTTTTAAGTTAAGTGAAAAAGAAAGAAAGAAAAAAAGAAGTAATGAATAATATAATGATCTAGTAAAATATTTGTGTTTCTTTTAGACCCTCTAAGAATGTTTATTTTCTAATGAAGAAAGGCCATTAATTGTTGTCAAAGAGTATATAAGTAAACATGTCCATCTTTTTGTTGTCAACAACAAACTTAGAAGGGTTTTGATTGATTTTGATGGAGCATTCTTTTTTTCTTTTTTTGATATATAATCTTTTTGACAAATTAATTATTACTGTTCAATGATAACTGGTGGTAGTTTATACCATCGATGTTTGAAAGGGCTACTTTTTTGGGAAACCAATAATGATGCAAATTGATAATGTATTATTATTACTACAAATTTCTTTAATACACATGAAGGGCAAATATGATTAAAGAATTTTAAAATTAGAAGAGCTTTAGCTATATGGCACCAAGTTGAATCTCATTTAAAAAATTGATAATCATTTTTTTATCAACTTGTATCTTTGACTTTACACCTTTTTAACTAATATTGAGCTCTAACCCTAAATGTTGTCTTTTGATCAAAAGAATAAAATAAATAAACATATGCATGTCTGTGTATGAAGAATTTGGCATTGAGTTGATAGTAAACATAAAGAATTAGGTTTAATTTTGTAAAATTTTAGGATTTATAAAGAGGTATTTTTATAGAGCTAAAAAACCATAAGCTTATTTGATAGCCTTTTTATTATAAAAATGGCATAAAATCCATTGAAGCCAAAAGAAACTAAATTTGAAATCCTTGTACTTTTAAAAATGAAATTTTGTCATTTTGGATTTTAACAATATACTTTGGTGTGGACTCAATTTTTTATTTACAACCTAAATACTTCATAAACTTTAATTTTATTGGGATTTAGTTTTTTAGTTTGATTATGAAAATGCAATGAAAAAATTTGAATAAAAATTATAAATATTATCTCAAAATTTTAGTATTTATGTACTAAAATATTCATATATATATTTATGTATGTATGTTCAATAAAATGACTAAAGATTATGTCCAAATCACTAAAAACATGTACTACTCTTTTATATGTGGCATCCAAAGCAATTGTTATATTGTTATAACTCACTATGATTGCACCCTATTGAGGCTTGTTGCTTCTAAATTTAAGAGACGCAACTACAATAACAAGGGTAGTTACATTATATTACATTGTAATCAAAGTTGAAAACTCTTCCAAAAGAATATTGATACCTTAAACTTCATTACTTCATCTCATGTATATCATAATCCAGTTGGATTTTGTTGTTTTTGGAAGAATTGTTTAGACAATATACACCATAATCATGTACTTTGTTTGCCATATTTGGGATTCAAATCTAGTAATTTATTTTTTAAAATTATTTTTTTAACAATACTTACAATCTTTCAGATATTCTACTTTGTAAAACTAAATACAAGCTAGAAATACCAATTCACGTTTACTCTTGTCAAAGACATGAATCTCAAAAGAAGAAAATCTTCAATACACTCTTGTATCAATGAAAGAAATTAGAAAGTCACTTAAAGATGATATAATACTGAATTGGAATGGCTATTGCCAAAAACAAGAAAACTAAAAAGTCTTGAAATAAGACTAAAGATTAGAAAGGTATTGATAAGAGTGAAGAAGGCTTCACTCTTGCCTCCCTATATACTCTCTAACTAAGAGCTATATGGCAATATTCTATAGAACCTCTAACATGTATTGACTTTGCTAGCCACATGTCTTAACTTGCAAAGTAAGTTATCTATGTATGCACCACATAGTTAGCTTGTTCCATAAGTTACCAACATGTCGTTAACTTGTTGGCCAAGTTTCTATCTTATAAATATATCTAAAGTCAAAACTGTGTCTATGAAACTTCTAAAAAGTTTTTTTAGGAGATTTTATAAAATTAATTTATATTTATCTACTTCTACCTAATCATATAAGTAACTATTGAGATATATATATATATATATATATATATATATATACATCCATGATATTATCTCTTTTTTTAGTAACACGTTCAACAAGGAGCAGTCTTCATATATTGAGAAAGTCCAAGATGCGATGAATTGTATTTGCCACATACTCCGATCTTTCATCTCTTCAAAGATGGTTGATAGGCCTTCTCAGCCATCAATAGTGTTCTATATCAGGACAAGAAGACCACCCTATTATTTGGTCATTGTTGAGGCCTTAGTAACTTTCTTTAAATAAAACATTTGAAACACCGTCAGGAGTTGTTCTTACCTCTAATAAAATCACCAAACATCGGAAGACTCTTCTAAGGTCGTGATATCAAATATGTTATATCTCACCATCTATTCGAGGAAGGACATGTTATTCTTGAAGATCTTCATCTTCATTTTATCATCTTGAAGGTTGTGACAATTACAATGTCTCATTTGATAAGTCTACAAATGAAAGCTCTTGAGTTGAATCTATTGGTTGTTGCTTCTCCATCTCCTTAACTATATACAAGCTAGAAAGAAGGATAGAAAATAGAGTGTTATCTTTCTTTGGTCTTATTTCTTTTATAGGAAAGATTTGCTATTCTTCATCTTAGTTTTGATGGATGTTTTTGATGAAAGGCTTCAATTCTCTTTACCACATTTATAAGATTCTTTGATGGCTCCCATGTTTGTTCACTAATATCATATCTGTACCAGTGAAGAAGATATTCCAACTTATTTTAACGCTGCCTTGAGTCTAAGACTTCTTCTACTTTTAATTCTTAATTATTATCTACTTCTATAGAAAGAAGTGGCATTTGACTTCTTCTAAAGATATTCATTGTCTTATATGGCTCAAGAAGGGATATGTGAAATAGAAGGTGGATCTTCATAGACTCCAATAGATATAATCAATAAGCAATAAGATTGATTTATTCACAAATAAAAAAAGGCCCCAGCCTACAATAATGTAACTTATCAGAAGGACAAGTAATCTTGGTATTGCAACAAAGTAACCATATCTTATTACCTATGTTGAATTGTGGTTGTTCCTTGCAATAAGCATCCATATTGGTCTTTTGTTGTTCTTGAGCTTCTTTTAATTGTATCTTCATTGTTGCATGTAGCTCTGACAAATAATTTGCTAAATCTTCTTCCATAGGATTATCAACTTTTGAAAAGTCAAAAATATCAAGATTTTGATAATAACCATAATTAACAAAGAAAGGTGTTTTTTCAATAGAAGAATGTACCAAATTATTGTATGCAAAATCTGCCAATGGTAAAAGAGTTGTCCAATCATCTTGATGGTACACCTCAAATATTACTCTAGAACTTGATTCACCTGTTCAGTTTGCCCATCAATTTGAGAATGAAAAGCTAAAGAAAGCTTTATATCCACCTTTAAAATCTTCAATAGGATTTTCTAGAATCTTGATACAAATTGAGTCTTCCTATCCAATATAATATCCTTTGGCAATCTATAATAGCAATGGATATTGTCAATGAAAAGCTTAGTTGTTTCTTTACCTGAAATAGATTTTGTACATGGTACCATTTTGATGAAGTAATCTACAATTACAAATATAGAATCATATAAACTTAAGACTATAAGATCTGTAATAAAATCTATAGAAACGGAAGATCATAGTTGCTTTGGAATTGGTAATAGTTGAAGAAGTCCATATGGTCAAAGGCAAAGAGTTTTGGATCTTGAACAAGTATCGCATGATTGTACAAAGTCTTTGACTGCCTTCCACATTTGAGGCCACCAAAAATCTCTTGATATTAGTTCCAAAGTCTTATTGTATCCAAAATGACCGGCTATTGGAAAATCATGACGAGCTTAAAGGACACGTAATCGTACCTTACTTTTTGGAATATATAGGCAATTTTTGAAATATAGTATGTTGTTCTTGAACTCAAACTTTGAAGTGTTATAGAACTTAGAAGAAGTATTTTTAATATCATGAATAAGAAGATCAGACGACATACTTAATTGAATTTGCTTGACAAAAGTTGAATCAATAGTCAATGTTGATTTTATTGCTTGAAGATGAAAATACCTGGGCTTTAAGAGAATTGTTCTTTGTTGATCAAAAGATACATCTTCTTCTTTTGGTACAAAATAAGAATTTCTAGAAAGGGCGTCTGATAGACCTTATTGTTTTCTTAGTCGATAAGTGATCTTGAAATTAAATCTGGATAAAGATGTGCTCTAATAAGCTTGACAATGATTCAAAATACATATTGATATGAAGTACTTGAGGTTCTTATGATCTATATATGCGATGACTTGACTTAAAGCGCCTTATAGATAATGATGCCATTCTTGAGAGCTCTTTGTCATGGATCTCATAATTAATCTTGGCTGCTAAAAATTTCCTAAAATAAAAAGCTATTAGATAGAGTTTGTCATATGTTTCCATTTATGACAATATGATATTTATAGCAAATTCTAACACATGTA